AAAAGATATATCAGTTATAATCTCAAGACATTTGCAAAATCAAAAAACTTAAAGATAATAAAAGCCGAAAAATAAAAAGAAAAACCATTTTAAAAAATTAACTTTTTTTCTTATTTTCTAGTTGTTCTTTTTTTTTTTTGAGAAAAAAGAAAAAAAAATTAAAAAGATATTTTGAACAGATATTCAGAACAAAACAAAGACACTATAATAAAGTGTATAGTAAAAAAAAATATTTGATAATATAGACACTGCACATGTAATAGAAACGATAAACTCAGACTCCTAATGAAAAATCATGACCAACACACAAGGTCTAAATGAAATGGAATATAAAATATAAAAATAACACAATATGCTCATTACAGAAACTAAAACTTGAACTTTCAGTTTTAGGCGGTAGCTCTAACCGATCATGCTATATGCCTTAATAAAAATACAATTAGTTTTGTTGTTGATTATAAGTCAACAACTAATAATTATCAAAAATCAAAAACTAATAATTAGTATAATTATAATGAAAATTAATATATTAATAATAATAAAAACAAAATAAATATGCAAACAAAACCAAAGTACCTGTATATATATATATATATATATATATATATATATATATATATATATATATATATATATATATATATATATATATATATATACATATATATATATATACATATATATATATATATATATATATATATATATATATATATATATATATATATATATATATATATATATATATATATATATATATATATATATATATATATATATATATTAACTTAAGATAATTAAAATTAAGTAGTGGATTAATCTAGGTAAAAAATTCTCAGGGCCACAATAAATTCACTAATGTTTCAGAAAGCCTGATAAAAAATGGCTAACATCGCTTGTCAGGGATACATCCTTGCTATCTTTATCATCGCTTGTAGCCTACATCTGTATCCACATTTTTAATAAAAATGTGGATACAGAGACAAGCATACACTAAAAACATAGTGAATAAATATAATAAATATACACAATAATATATAGTATAAACATATACAAATTAAGATGTAAAGATCATATAGTACAATATTATTTACTATATAATAAAATTAAAAAAATGAAGAGATAGTTAAATATCTTATTATAGTCGATAAGTGGATACAAATTTTATGGTGGACAACTAGTTATGGTAGCTAACAGATGTGATACTGAAAACAAAATCGCTGTCAAGAAAAGTGTTCTTAATTGAAGATATTACAGTGCTAACAATAACAAAGCAACTTGGTAACATCGAATAAATTGAAACACCCTTGCAACTCTATTAGCAAGAAACCCACTCCAAGGGATTGTATAGTTCAATTACTATTTAGAGAACTCTAATCCTAATGAAATAACCAGATAATTCAATTGCCATGTAGGTTAAAGTTTGTTATAAGGTCATTGTGGTATAGGATTGAGCCTATAAACAGTAATAATTTTTTTTTTTTTTTTTTTTATTATTCACCTTCTTAAGGCCTGAGGGGGTCATTACAGTTGAGGAGGCTATTAATTTTTTTTTATTTTTTTTATTTTTTTGTTGTAAATCATGGTACAACCTGTAAACTGCCATATAGGGTTAATCTGGGTTAATCATTAATCTAGGGTTAATCATTTAACTGCCATATAGGGTTAATCTTATAAAATTGTCATAACGTTTACAGGATATGTCTATCATAATATGTAGTAAAATGTAAACAAAAATATCATGCAAGATATAAAAAAACCAACGTATTAAAAATAAACAGACTGTTCTAGTAATTTTAAAATAACTAAAAATTATAATAGTCTAATCTTCATATAAGTGTATTATTTATGAGCCTAATGTATTAAAATATCTAAATAAGACTCTTTCAAGTCTCTGGAATTTTTGGACAATTTTTTTTATTGCTCTAGTTTTTTTCTCCTTCTATTATTTTATGTTAAAAAATTCCTTGTTTCTTCATTAATAATTAATAATATATCAAGCTTTTTATCACACAACAGATTCAAAGAAAATCCTTAATCATTTGGTATTTATTTTTATTTAATACTATTATTACAAACATACTACTAAATTCAATTGTTTATTTTTACATAATTCTATTATACTAGTAATTTTTTTTAATTCTATTATATTATATTACTAAATTTTTCTAATTCTATTATACTACTAAATTTTTGAATAAAATGTCAAATTTTAGAGTAGTTTGAGGTGGCCTATTAACACCTTATTTATTAAAGCTGGATTTTGAAATACAATATGTTTTATAAGTGTTTCTTATTGACAAAACTATTCTATACTAATAATTATTTTATACTGTAACTAAAAAAGTGGATGCCTTTGAAAAAAATCTGAAATCAGTTTTTGAATCAGTAGTCTGAAATTATTGTAATCATAGATGAGTTTTAGACATAAAAATCCTGGAAATTTTTTTTTTATGAAAATTATTTTTATAAAAATTCCGGAAAACTTTAAAATCAACAAATTAACAAAGGTATATAGGTAAATTCTTCAACAAAAAAGGTAAAGGGATAAACTAAAAACTACTGAATTATGTTTCTCTAAAATTTCCTAAAATCAAATGTAATATCTCAGTTTTAATGTAAACAATCTGCACAGTGTAATAATTTATTTATTTATTAAATATCAAATGTCAGACAATGGTTCAGAAATCAATACTTTTTATTCTTATAATTTCTTGTTGCAAAACATTCATCAGCTTCTCTTTTTTTGCATTTTTTTTTGCACGATCAACCACCGCTTACACCGCTTATATGAGGCTTTGCACCACTTATATGAGGCGATTTTTTTCATTATTTTATTTACATTAAAAAAAACGTTCTTCAACTTTTCTGTTTTTCCGATGGAATTTTTTTAATAAATCATTTGCTTGCAGTTTGCAAACAACCATAGATGTTTTGTTAACTGGGTCATGCAATATACCTTGTCTTTAATAGTACCCTACCACTATGGTCTTGTTTGCTAATAACAAGACCATATTGCAGAGAGGCATTTTAATAAAGGGTTTTTAAAAGGAAATTTATTAAGTAAGTAAACTGATGATTCAAGGTAAGATTTTAGGAAGGTTTTAATAAACAATGATTTGATGTCAGAATTTCGAATAATTATTCTTAACAAATATTTTTCAGCATTATTTCAAAAGTATATGTAAATTTCAGGTTAAAAATTTTCAACTTTGTTTCTGTTATACTTTTTATCATCTTTGGCTTAATAAAACAAGTTAAAATTGTTTTTAATAGTTTAAATTGCTCATCATAAATTTGATAGACTAACGGTTCTTTTGTTTAAAAGTTAATATAAATGATTTAAAAATAGGAAGAATTTTAATGTACAAATTAATATAAAGTATAATATAAAGTTTCATTACGCCGGAAATATAAACTTTTAACAACTCTAGCTTTTCTTTCTGCACCTTGTTTTGTTTGTTTTTTCTGCTGCATTTTACATTATTTTTTCTATTAGTTTATAATTATTATTTGCCTCTTTAAAATTCTATCACTTTCATCTTTATACAGAGAGATGTTTTGATAACCAAGTAGAATAAATTAAGGAGTTAAATAAATGAATAACAGCATTAAAAAAACTTTCAGTATTTACCGTAACAAGTGATAATGATGCATAGTGTTTTAATACAACTTTATTAACTTTGTTGCAAAAATATGCAACGAGTATACTAAGAACCTTCTCATATTTTGCCGAGAAGCACGCATCTATGTTAAGGGAAAACATTTTTATTTTCATATTTCAACATGAAATATGAAAATAAAAATGTTCAACATGAAAAGCTTCACTTAATGCTTTTTAAAGCTTATATGATGCAGTTGTTCTAAACATTTTCAAATTTTTTAAAACACAATGATCTTTAGACATTCTCTTTGCATATTCATATCTATGGGATGTTAAAGATATTGGAGGATTGTGTTCACAAATAAATGTGAGTGCCATAGCTTCTGCATTTGATGTCCTGTCTCTAAAACTTACAACAGGTTTAATGGTAAGCTTCACTATATTTGTGCAAGTACTGCCAATTTGCAAGTTATCCAGAGTGCCATATGGCAATATACATGCATCTGTTTTTTTAATATTTATAACAAAATGACAACAGTATAGCTTCGTTTGTCTTAATCATTGGGCAAGTTTGACAATGTATTTTAGATTTAGTAAAAGATCAAATCAAATAATATATAATTTAGATGAAATTACATATTTAAATGATCAGTTAGGGAACAAATTTACCACTCTAGCTTTATCTTTCTTATATAGGCTGAATAATACTCTTCATTATCATCTTTCTTTAGAAGCTAATACCAGCTAAACTTATTTTTAATATTTCTGTCTCAGAAATGTCAGATAAACTTTTAACTTCTATTTTACAATTTTTATTTCTTTATTATAATTATTAATAACAAAAACTTATGTAAACTTTTAAAACAGAATTTACATCAACTAATTTCTTACAAAAAGCATTTTCTAACTTTCAAAAAAGTTAATTTGAATGAATTAAAAAGAGAAAAAAAGAAAAAAATTATTGCGAAACTTGATCTCGTAAAATTTTAACTATAGAAATGTTGCTGTATTTAAACAATTTTTTTTTTTCAAATTAATAGCAAAAAACATCCGGAAATTACCTTTAACTTAATAGGAGTTTTAAGCGAATTTTCTGAATTTTGAGAATTCCTGGAAAAAAACTCATCTATGTGTTATACAAGATTTATTTTTTAAGTTGCAAAGCAAAAATAAATTTGTTGCATATTTTTATTACTACTACTACAAAGATTAAAAAAAATTATTAATTTATAAATTCAAAATTATTAATTAATAATACAAATTTATTAGTATATAAATAGCTTTTTTCTACTTAAGTAATTTCTAAAGCAATTTTTTAAATATTCATTTAAAAATATAATTATTATAAACAATAACTAAAATTAATACTAATAATTACAGAAATTAAAATATTTACCGCATCTGTAAAAAAAAGTTTTTCTGGATGTAGCTTAACATCAGCTCCCGGAAGATCTCCTTCAAAATGAAAACGGGCAACAGCACAAGCAGCATCTTCTTTGCAATTAATAACATGATTATTTGTAACTATTGCTTTTTTTTTAATATTGTTTATTAAAATATGTGCAAAAAAACCAGTACCTCTTCTAAAGAAATAAATAACATAAATAAATAAATATGTTTTCTAACATTTCACAAAAAGCTTTTAAAAATACTAATTAAACACTAAAATGATTTTTTTTATTTAAAAATGTTTTTGTGTTTTTCACACCATTGCACAATGGAGTATCAAAAAATTCAATCAAAATTATTTCATTATTGTTACTGCAAAAAAAAGTTTCTATCGCAAAATTTTATTTTTCAATAAAGTAAAATATTTTTTAAAAATATATATCTAAGAAGTATCAAAAGTATATTTATAAATATATTTCATTAAAGAGAAATATTTCAATAAAAGAAATTTAATAAACTGAAATGTTTCAAAAAAGCTTCATCAAATTTACCGTAAAAAAAAATTGCTTATTCCATAAAAATACATTTATGGCACTTTTTGGCAGCTGTTTTTTTAAGTGTATCAAGAAAATAGATAAAGCCATAAAATGTTGATAAAATCAGCCTGGAGAAATGTGGTGAAATATAACAAAAGGTCATTGAACATGAACATAGATTATGTGGTTTTACATACTTTGTTTAATAACAACCATCACTTTAAATTTCCAGACCACTTAAATTCATTGTCAATAATGAATTTTTAAAACCTTATTTTCATTTTATTGTCAAAAGTGACTATGACTATGAAAATGAAATGATTTATAAAAATTATTTGTTCTACCTTTTTACATAATACTCATTATAAAAAGGTAGAAAAAATAAAAAAACAAAATAACCTCGTCAATTTATTTTCAATACTTTTTAATAAATTTAAAATATGAAATCTAATCTGAAGACACACTTGATCTGTTTTCATCTGATTTGCAGGCATTGTCATCATCATTTTTTCTTAATGGTATTTTCTTAACACAATAACATTTCCATAGTTACAGGTTTAAAAGATTTGCTTTTTTTAGAAGCTTAGAGTCTTATACTTTTCAGATATGGATGTTGACAAAAGTCTGTTGATGACACCCATATTAAAAATAACTCTACTAAATTTTGTGCTGTACTGTTCTCTATATTTTCGGAAACGTTTGTCTTTGCTGCGTTTATTTCTTGCCTTTGCTTCTTCAGGCAAAGCTTCTATAGATAGGATTGCTTGCACTATGACTAATGGCTTGCACTATGACTAAGGCTCATGCCTAATTTATGCACAGTGGATGACATAGGATACCGCAAATAAAAAGCTCAACATTAAGATGTAGTATCTAAACAATATATTTTATATATTGCAATTTTAAGCCCTTTTTGATAAAACCACATTTATATTTTATTATCTTGATATTTAAAAGACCTTTTGTGTGATTTCACCACATTTCTCCATTTTTCAACATTTTATGGTTTGATCTATATTCTTGATACACTTAAAAAAATAGCTTTGTGAAATGTACACAAACAGTGAATTTACAAAATATTTTTTCTGTTATAACTTCGATGAAGCTTTTTTGAAACATTTCACTTTGTTAAAAAAAAATTTTATTGCAATATTTTATTTTAATCAACTATATATAACTTAATCAACTATATATAATTTAATCAACTATTTATATCTGTATCTTTACTTTTTGATGAATCTATTAATTTATTAGTCGAAAACATAACTAAGTTTTTTTTTTTTTTTTTTAATTTTTTTGGTTATGCTATGTAAACTTTCTATTAAAATTTATTTACGCTAAGCTAAAGTTTACAAGAAGTGCCGCAACAACAAATCATAAATAAACAAATGAAGTTAAAAAAATGCTAAAATATGCATCAAAAAACGAGACCAAGCTGAAATGCCAAAGTGAAATAAGGAAAAAATTAGGAACAGAGAAAGGATAAAAAAATAAAATTAAAAAGATATTATGAAAAGATGTTCAGAGCAAAATTAAGATACTGAATTAAAATGTATATTAAAAAAATAATAATGATAATTTAGACATCGCCCATGTAATAGAAATTATAAACTCAGATTCTAAATGGAAAAATTTTCATTTATATTTCTTTTTCTTACGAAGTAGAACTGAACTATCACCGGTGCTATTAGTCACTGGCAGAAGCAATTTTGCGGGGAAGGAAGGGGGTATTTGACGCAATTCAGTCAGGTAAATTTTAGTTCAAGTCAAAGGTCGGTTGTCACATTTTAGAAATTGTTCAGGAGAGAAGAAATAGTAAAATAATTAGTGTGCTTTATTAGCTTATTCTTGATGGTTAAATTTATGTAATTTTTTTCATGTTTTATTTCATTTGTCTTCAGACGCAAAAAAAAATAATATTGTGGTTTTTCCACAGACGTTTTTCCTTTGAACATTGTGGGGACACCATACCTTTTATATTGACCTAACTTTGTTTCAAATCATCATAAGACAACAATCTTTATACCCCTGTGAAGATACTGAAAAAACTAAAAAGCTCTTATACATAACTCATTTTCACACAAAAATGGACAAATGACCTTTGTCTTCTGAGGTACAGATATATATTCAACTATATATATAATTTAATCAACTATATATATATATATATATATATATATATATATATATATATATATATATATATATATATATATATATATATATATAAGACTAGGTCAGCCTAAAGTCGACAAACTATGTCTCTATAACCATCATCAAGTCGACAATTTTCATAAGTCGACAGATTTCCTGTCGACTTTACTTATGAATGAATTTTAGTAACGATTAGTTCAATGGAAATTTAAAAAAAAAGATACCATTGTAATGTCTAAATTATACTCAAGAGATTTCTATAAAAAACATTAACAAAAAAAAAACGCGGCAAACTATAAACAATAACTTTTTTTAAAAACGCGTATATTTACTTGTGTTACATATACTGCCTATAGGTCGATAGTTAAGAGATTGCATTTTTTGTTTGAAATATAAAGATATATTTGTTATAATTTTTGTTTAAAATATAGATAAACTATTTAGTTAAAATAATATACAACCAGTTCAAAAAAAAAAAGTAACATTTAGACATTATATAATATGTTTTTTTTCAACTATAAGTAGACTTATTCTACTCGTAAATCTTGCGTCAAGTCAACAATAATAAATATATAGACTTGTATTTTAATATTTCTATGTTTTTATAAATTTTTTAAAATATAAATATATGTAAAAATGACAAATGAACTTTAAAATATGCATATAAAACTTATTTTATACTACTTCTACGACGTCAAGTTGAAATATATGTTCATGCGTTAAAATCGCTAAGTCTACAAATTTTCTATTTCTTTTTAAAAAAGCGTTTAATTGATCACTTAAATTTTTTTACGATACAAATACTTAATCTACGCAACATCTGTAAGTAAAAAATGAATTAAAAAAGAAAATTTTTTATGTCGACTTATGGTGTAAAAAATAATCGCTGTCAACTTTGAGTAGACCCAGGCTTATATATATATATATATATATATATATATATATATATATATATATATATATATATATATATATATATATATATATATATATATATATATATATATACATATATATATATTATATATGCTATTAGTAACATGCAACCCAGTACAACCTGCTTCATGTCCTGCTGCTTTGTAGGATATGCTTTTCTAGGCAAAGGCTAGGAGAAGCCAAATCCAATTTAAAACACCCCCTGTCTTGGGGTTCTTGTTTGAGTAAAGGCTAGAAATGGTGTCTCAATAAAAATACTTATCTTGGGCAGATGTTAAACGCATTTGGTTACTGTCTTGTAGAAGTATTGTATTAAAAAATGTATTTATAATACATTGTCTCCAGTTTAAGATGTTAAATGCTTTATGTTCTTGACTCAATACATGTGTTTTGCTTGTGTCACTGTTTTTATGACAAGGCAACTCATTCTATTACCTCCTAATGAGGATACACTCAGTATTATAATTCTGAGGCTGAGGAGAGAAACCTCAGAATTTTAATTCTGAGGCCAGCTGGTAGTCAGGTTTCCCAAACTCTGTGGTAGCTCTCAGAGAGGCTACTTCTATCAACAGTAAAATATCAGAGTTCCATCAACTGCATCAGAATTCCATCAATTGTAAAATATCAGAGTACTAACAGTGCCATGTTGCGCATGAATGGTGTCCCTATTTATACTTTGCTGTGCATTGTCAAGGCAACATTTGGAGATCTTTGATACAGCTTAGGGTTTATAATGAGGAAATAAAGTAATGAGGAAATTGCTTGAACTATGAGTGTACTGAGTACTATCTGTGCTTTGAGTCAAGTTCTTTAACAAATTTTAAAATGACTTAAGTATTAAAAACTATAAAACACAAAAAACTATCATTTTTTTTTTTAATGCTAATTTAGGTGCCCCAAGAAGTCCTTACGGTCTTATCACAGAGCACCGCGGAAGAGCATTTAATAGGAAGTTCACACCTCCTTCCCAACCGATGTCGCAAAACTTGCCCAGAGGTGGGTTTGAACCACGGATCTTACATTTCTGAGGCAAGTGCGCTACCACTGCGCCATGGCTGCTTAAATCATCATCACTAAGTTCACTAAATCTATCATTCACTAATAATCGTGGTCTTGAAAGTAACTTTTCTTCTGTTGAGTCTTATCTCTTGCAAATTTTGTGATCTTAGTGTTGATGGTATCTTCTTTTAGTTTATAAAGACTCCAATAGTCACATGCTTAGCCAGGGCATTTACATTCCTAAGAATTCACCCATTTGTCAAGAAATTAGGTTTGAATCCACCAACTATTCTTTTATGTGCTTTCGTTTAACACCACTTCGCTCTTTTTTCTATATTGTTCTCCTTCATTTCAAACTGCACTCTTTTTGATATTATTTCTGATCAAATTGACCAAGCGTTCTCTCTTTATCCATTAGCCATAATTGCTGTTGTTGGTGACTTTAATATTTATCACACTGAATGGCTTGGCTCTATATCAGTGACTCTTCAGGCATTAAGACCCACAACTTTTGCCTTTCTCAATCTCTAACTCAAATAGTCAACTTTTAAACTCATTTTCCAGACAAC